GGGGACGAGCAGCCGGGTTCCGTTCAAGCACTGTTGAAGCAGGAAACCGCGGCGACTCTCCGCGAAGACTGTATGATCACCTTTTAAGTAAGAACCATCAGTGAACTTTGAGAAGTCAGCATTACCCAAATTATTTTCTTGCAGGTCATCACAAGGCATCAGGATATGATCCATCAGTGTTAAGTAGTGGTGAGAGACTTCACTGGTGATGGAGGGCAGAAGAGCAGCAAGGTTAAGCTTATTACAACCTAAAAGAGTTATGTGAGGAACTTAACAAAAGGACTTCTTAGGAGGTGAGGCGGCTGACTGAGAAATATTGAGTGTGATGAGAATTCAGAAGGGCTTCTACTGCATGAGGTACAAAAATGGTTGAAAGGAATCCCACCTTAATCTTTTTGATGACCTTAACCAAAAAGGCAGTGGCAGTATGGCTCTAATGCGAGTTGGAAAGACAACTTAGAAGGTTGCAGGCACCCAAGGTGCTTAATTGGTAACAATCTTTTTGTCTAATATCTTGGCTCATTGCAATAATAGCAGGGTAGAACTGTGCCACAGAGTACAGTTGCTGGCTTTAATACCCTGTGGATAGATGGTGGTCCTAATGCTTTTGGGTGAGTACCCCAAAGGCATTATCTTCCTTTTCATATATAAAAATGGAAAAGAGAATCTGATCATTGGATGCCCAAGAGTGTGTGAGTTCATCAAACTCTCCTTTAAGGCCTTAAAGACTATTTTATCTGGTTCTTCCCATAAAATTGGGTTGAGGTTGCTCTTTAGTAAAATATACAGAGATTTGGCCATAAGAGAGAAATTTGGAACCCAGTTTGAGTAATATCCAACTAGCCCGAGAGAACCTCACAGTTGGCACTTCATTTTGGGTTTTTGGAAGCTTGGGACATCATGAAGCCTTCAGGGTTCAGCTATAGCCCTTTTTCTGGTATCAGATGTCCTAAATATCAAAGCAGGTTGGGAAAACTGCAATTTTCCCTTGGCAAACTTATGTCCCTTTAAGGTTAATAACTTTAGCAAGTGGATGCTGCTTTCCTGTGAGAAGGCTTGAGAAGGAGAACAAAGAAGCAAATCATCCACACATTGCACCAAAGTAGAACTCCTAAGGAACTCTGTATCATCCAGATCAGCCTTCAGGGTTTCTGAGAAATAAAGGCTCTCAGTAAAACCCCAAGGCATTACTGTACGGATGCATTGTTTTGTTTTTCAAATGAAGGCAAAAAGGTATTGGTTAGAATGTACTGCATACATCAATTATAGTAAAGAATTTGCTTCTGTTGGAAATGGATGTTAGTAGTGTATGACAGTTAGGAATAACAGGGTATCGAGGGATAAGAGTCTTGTTTATTGCTCAGAGATCCTGGACAAACTTCCACCCTCAGCCCTTAGGTTTCTCTATGGTAAAATCAGGGGATTATAGGGATTAGCACAAGGGATAATGATGACTTGTTATCTTCTATTATAGGCTTTTTACCTCGAAGGCCTTCTTTCCTTACAGGGTGTTGATTAATTCTGGAGAGACGTTTGGAGGGGGGGTTTATTTGGATCTTGTGATCCACACAGTCGAAGGCTTTGGCATAGTCAATAAAGCAGAAGTAGATGTTTTTCTGGAACTCTCTTGCTTTTTCGATGGTCCAACAGATGTTGGCAATTTGATCTCTGGTTCCTCTGCCTTTTCTAAATCCAGCTTAACATGTGGAAGTTCATGGTTCATGTACTGTTGAAGCCTGGCTTGGAGAATTCTGAGCATTACTTTACCAGCATGTGATATGAGTGCAATTGTGCAGTAGTTTGAGCATTCTTTGGCATTGCCTTTCTTTGGGATTGGAATGAAAACTGACCTTTCCCAGTCCTGTGGCCACTGCTGAGTTTTCTAGATTTGCTGGCATATTGAGTGCAGCACTTTCACAGCATCATCTTTTAGGATTTGAAATAACTCA